TGTGGATACAAGGACTTCCTCTTTCAAGCTCAACTTTATAAATTACTCATACTTGTGCATTATTGTCGTATCAGTTTGTAACTGCTGTTCAACCCCTGGAAATACTAAAAAACCTGGACTGATCAAGAGCCCCCATATCAAGGCCAGCAGGATATTTAGGGGAGGGAGAAATAGGCAAAAATATGTTGATTAAAATTAAAACTTGGTGGGGAGGGGAGAGAGAGATTGGAAAACATTTATAAAGTTTCCCAGAGTTCAAGAGGTTTAAGAACCAATAGCAAAGAATGAAAATATCAGAAAAGTAGTTAGGTTTTAAATGCACAGAAACACCTTATCAGACTGTTAATATCTCTTTAAAATAATCTCATAATATTTACTAGGTACACATTGGAATCCCTATCATTCAGTGTCTGATTTGATCTGAGTGGTTTTATAGCACTGAGCACTGATTAGCTGATAACAGCATATTAAAGCTGTTTTCATACTTATGTGGAGTCTTGATGTCTGCTGTTTCACAAAATATTAGATTGTTGTAAATGCATGTCCCACTCTAAAATCCAGACTATGGAGTTTAAAAAAAAAATACAAGTGACTAAAAGCATTAAAATGTGTAACACAACACAGTAACGTAATTATATGTACCATGGGATTGCAAGCTCACTTCTACCTCAAAGGACAGCTGAATAATCTTTTCTGTGCTCTCATGAGTGATACAAATAAAAAGTTAATAACTATTGACAGCAGAAATAAGGAAATAGGGAGTGAAGGACCGTTTTTTGTATAGTTGCTCAGGAAGGATGAGCAGAGTACCTATCCCATTTTTCACACTTATGTTTGTCCCACATTCATTGCCTTAATAAAGATTCTAGAATGAAGTAAGGACATCAGCAGGCTGGTTAGTGGAGATTCTTAAATTTTCTTGATTAAACAATCCAGCATATTCAGCAGTACATTTGTAGCTTGGTTAATACAGCTCTCCATGCTAGATAGCTGTGCCGTGCCGTGCCATGCCATGTCAAACCAGCCCATGAATGCAGGAGAGTATAGTTCTGATGTCAAAAGTGACTAAAAATATGATCATAGAATATCAGGGTTGGAAGAGACCTCAGGAGGTCATCTAGTCCAGCCCCTTGCTCAAAGCAGGACCAACACCAACTAAATCATCCCAGCCAGGGCTTTGTCAAGCCGGGCCTTAAAAACCTCTAAGGAAGGAGATTCCACCACCTCCATAGGTAACCCATTCCAGAGCTTCACCACCCTCCTAGTGAAATAGTGTTTCCTAATAGCCAACTAAGACCTCCCCCCACTGCAACTTGAGACTGTTGCTCCTTGTTCTGTCATCTGCCACCACTGAGAACAGCCGAGCTCCATCCTCTTTGGAACCCCCCTTCAGGTAGTTGAAGGCTGCTATCAAATCCCCCCACTCTTCTCTTCTGCAGACTAAACAAGCCCAGTTCCTTCAGCCTCTCCTCGTAAATCATGTGCCCCAGCCCCCTGATCACTTCCGTTGCCCTCTGCTGGACTCTCTCCAATTTGTCCACATCCTTTCTGTAGTGACGGAACCAAAACTGGACGCAATACTCCAGATGTGGCCTCACTAGTGCTGAATAGAAGGGAATAATCGCTTCCCTCGATCTGCTGGCAATGCTCCTACTACTGCAGCCCAATATGCCATTAGCCGCCTTGGCAACAAGGGCACACTGCTGACTCATATCCAGCTTCTCATCCACTGTAATCCCCAGGTCCTTTTCTGCAGAATTGCTGCTTAGCCAGTCGGTCCCCAGCCTGTAGCAGTGCATGGGATTCTTCTGTCCTAACTGAAGGACTCTGCACTTGTCCTTGCTGAACCTCATCAGATTTCTTTTGGCCCTATCCCTATCCTCCAGCGTATCTACCTCTCCCCCCAGCATAGTGGAGTTCCATATTTCTCTTCATGTTTAAATGGCTTCCAATCCAGTGGTGCATAAAATTATGTTGTGTTGTTTAGGATGGCAATTTATTGCTTTTCGTCTCTTAAATTTCTTTTTAAAACTCTAATCTGGCTTTTAGAGTGAGACAAGTTCACAATCTAATATTTTGGAAAATTGCAGATATCAGATGTACTCCTATTTCCAATAAAGTTATTTTTTCCTAACTGCCACCTGTGCAAACTCAACCTTGGTTATTAATGTCAAGCTGAAATCTTTCCTTGTGCATCATCACTGGTAGTAAAGGTTATGCAGACCAGAGTAGACTCTTAGTTATACCTGTACATCCCCACTCCCCTTAGTTGGTTTGAACAAGTACTACTGATTAGAACATAATTACATTGATGTACTTGAGTATTGCCACCGGCTTAATACCTGTGGACATAAAATTATTATTGTACATGCACTACCTCTTTCCATTTTTACTAACAAACCTTTTCAGGAGCTGTTCTCCAGGAAGTCAACCTGGAGACTTAGTAGCTTCCTGGTGACATGCCTCCTCTGTTCTGCTTTTAATGTCTTGTATGGTAGAGAAGGAAGAATGAGCAGTATTACTATGATTTTAGAACTTGGGGACACATGCCATGCTCAGCATCTCAGGGGGCTCAGAATAGAAGGCAGAAGTAAAGGCAGCTATACAGTGCCGTTGCACCTCCCTGATTCTGAGCTGCTCTGATGGCCAGCTGTAGGTTGCTCTGTAGCCTGGAATAGATGGTGCACTTTACATTCTCTCAGGTATGTCAGAACAAAGCTGTTTCTCAGTTAGCTATGCCCACCTAGCCACACAGCCTGCACCAAGAGGAGTTTTTCTTCTCATGTAGGACCATCACTTTCCTGAACGATGTTAGCTACATCAACGGAGGCTCTATTCCATCAACATAGCTGCATCTACATTGGAGATGTTGTTGGCATAACTGTTGGTCGGGGTGTATGTGTGGTTTTTTTTTTTTCACCCCGACTGACATAGCTATCCCAATACAACTTTTCAGTGTAGACTAAGTATATTAGTACATGGCTGTGTTGTATTAAAGTAGATAATCTACTGATACCATTTCCTTCCCCGACTACTCATTGTCAAAAATGTTCTACAGGTAAAGTGACAGGTCAAGGAAGGCCTATCATCTTCCTTTGCCTGAGCGTGTTGTTACTATCCTTGTACAGTCCTTTCCTGTTAAGTTTATATCAAAATCAATGTTAATTACCTCTATATTAATCAATCTGTCTGAAAGCATGTCTTTGCAAGTCACGCGGGTGGCGATACAAATCTCTTGTCTAATGCAAATTAACATGCTGTGCAAGTAGAAGCCCATTTTGCTTTCTCATCTTTAGAAGATTTGTTTTTACTATATAAGATGGTTAACCTGTTTTTCCGGTTCTCAAAAGGTATGTATGATAGGGTAAAGCTTCTAAATGTTTCTCCTTCCTTTGACATACCTTTGCCAATTATAAAAGCCTGCCAAGAATTAATCCATAATAGATTTGGTTTGCTTTTAATTGTAATATGGCAATTGATTTTTAGTTCAAACTTGACTTCTAATGGGACTGTGCTCTTGCCACTTAATTGAGAATAAGTCCTGGATGGAGCTTAGTGACATGGGGGGAGGAGGAGGAGGAGGAGGAAAGCAGCAACTTGTGTGAAAGCAGCAGCTGCAGAGAGGCTCTACTGCTGCTCAGGGCTGTATTTCAGAGACCCAGCTGTATTTAGGGGAGTCTCTCCCCTATCCCAAGAATCCAGCATGGAGAAGCCACAAAGTGTCCCAGCAGCTACAACTGCATGGGGAGGGAGACAGCCAATGTAGTTCAACCAGGAAAGGGAAGACACTGATGCTGCTGCAAGTTGTCACCTTCTGAACCTGCAAGAGAAAGTTCCCTCAAGGTGTCAGTGTCAGCAGGTCGGCCACTGCCCGCCCAAGCCAGTTTAAACTGATGGAAAGTAGAGAGGTGGCAGCTCTCCCTCTTGATGACAAGCACAGAAGCACTAAAAAGACTAGCTCCCTGCTAGGGAGAGGCAGCAGCAAAATCACCAAAGTTGATTATAGCACTATTATGTCAAGGTAGAGGAGATGGACACTCTCACCCCAACTTCCACCATTATTAGTTATTCTCAGTTGTAATGTTTCTTGTCCTGTTTTGACTACTTAATAATCCAGCTAGCATATTTGAACAATTTTAATGGGGCAGGTCCCTATTTGAGATAGTCAGTACCTAAATACTGTTGCAATAGGTACTTTCTAAATTGTTATACATATCCCCTTTTAAAATGTTTAAAATTAAGGATTATCGTCTGACACAGATACAGGATCTTAACTAGAATCATATACTAAAAGAAAACATGCATGTAAATTTTACCCTGCAGTTTGTACTGTGGTTACATCCAGAAGACTCGAACTTAATATGCAGAAAATAATCCTGCAGTGATCCAATTGTGTGATTAGGATCTTCATTTGTATACCTGATATTTAGCTAAATGATATATTAGTAATAAAAAATATATAAATATTGCAAAAATCTGAAGTATACTTAGAAGACATCACAGGTTATTTATTGCTACAGGTGTGTGTAAAGTTACTAGTACTGTTATTTGGTGGAATGCCTACATATTCAGTATGTCACAGTTTTACACCCATTAAAGACAAGGTTGTGGATCTATATAGATCCTGTAGTTCACGTTATAAACTGATCCTGTTATTGGGGCTTCAGCAGGTGTCAAGGGTCTGCATGTGCAGGCCCAAGTGCAGAACCAGGGCTTTAAATTCTATTTTTCCTAAGTGAATCATGATTAACTGATGGCAAAGGAAAGCAGAACTTTAGATTTCCTTGGTCCAGACAGCACAGAACACTAACAGAGATGGATTCTGCAGTTAGGTTCATAATATTCTTTTCTTTGTCTTTTAGTTTGTGATGCAAGCTTCTAAATTGTTTTCATTGGAAGTTTCATTTCTGAAATCTCATCTGAGTGTGAGACTGTTTATGCTGTACACTATGAAACTCTGTGCAGGTTAATTGTGTGTACCCCTGTGTATTCTTTTCTAGGCACGTTTTCCACAAAGCCTGTGTGGATCCTTGGCTTAGCGAACACTGTACCTGTCCTATGTGTAAATTGAACATTTTGAAGGCTCTGGGAATTGTAGTAAGTTACATATTTGTGACCTTTATTACATAACTGATACAGCCAGTTCAAGTAACTTCTTCACACAAAGTAGCTCATAAGAAATCCATCACAGCAGGTATGGTGGGTTGGCAAGAGCATATTGCTCAGTTGTGTTGGAGCCCTTCTTCCTGTGGTTTGAGTGTGGCCTCTGATCTGTCTTTTCAGCCAGAGGACCTCAAATGCATATAGAGAGGTTGAGTGCTCGGAGAATCCATTCTGCAAATACCAGCTGCTAGCTGATTCACAAGGAGACATTAGAGGATGGTCTCAGAGGAGATCTTTCTCCCGTTTTCCTGTCTGGGGAGAAGTTCTGAGTGCATTGGTGATTCTCAGGCAGATTATGTCCCTCATATAAAGGGGAAGGAAAAGCTTATGCCATGTCTATAGTAGCTATCAGGTCAAGCACAGCAAGGGAGAAATCAGGCCCACATTCCTAGCTGTGTCAAACTGCACAAACTTTCTAGAAATAACAGCAGATAACACATTGTGGGCAAGCTACTTTTGAAATTAACATACCTGAGTTGGTAAAGGAGGAAACAGTGTAATTTGACATGTCTTGACCAATACCTCTCACTATTGATGTAGAGTACAAAGAAATCAGCTTTTATGGCCCCTGGTAACAAATTTCTTTACTCTTAAGAATATACTGTTGTGTATAGGCCACCAACATATTCAACTCCCTCTCCTGAATCATAATATTTTCTGACCTATGTACAGAAGGGTTTTTAGCCTTGTTGTTGTAGCCTTATTGGTCCCAGGATATTAGAGAGACCGAGTGGGTGAGGTAAAAGTCATAAGCTTTTGAGCTACACACAGTGACCTGAAGAGCCAAACATTTCTTTTCGCCATCAGAAGTTGGTTAAATAAAAGATATTACTTCACCCGCCTTGTCTCTCTATGATAGAGATAGGCTTTTGTACATATTCAGTGTCTTCTTTATTTAAAAAAAAAAAAAAACACTTAAGCAGGGGAGACTTTTGCAGGCTGCCTGAGGATTGAATAATTAACATTTTAATATGGAAGTAATGTTTTTCCAGCCAAGTGTGCCATGTACAGATAACGTAGCCTTTGATATGGAAAGGCTCACCAGAGGCCAGCCAGCCAATAGACGATCAGCACTTGGTGACTTTGCCAATGACAACTCACTCAGCCTGGAGCCCCTACGTACTTCTGGGATGTCACAGCTTCCACAGGACGGGGAAATAACTCCAAGGACAGGGGAGATCAACATTGCTGTAACAAGTAAGCATTATTTGGTCTTTATTATAGTTTCATGGTTTCCCTGTTGTGTGGTGTCCGTTTTTGCTGTGGTTCTGCACAGCAGGGCAGCGGTGAAACCTTTCCCTATAGAGAAAAAGGTGACCTCTCTCAGTGTAAGAAATATACATGTTTTTTATTGAAACTTGTAACTTCAGGGACTGTTGCAAACACTTCCATTATTAATGGTAAATTCATTTAGAACTGCATACAATTATTAGGTGAACTTCAAGAAAAAAATTAATTTGGTAACCAATATGGGAAGCGTGGTTGGCAAAAAGGAGTTTACTATTTTTACATAGCAAAAATATACTGCAAGACTATTATTGAACTGGTTAGTAGTTACTAAGTTGGTTATAGGTATTATCATGGGTACTTAGACGCTTTCTCAATTAGTGTGTTGCATTTGGAACCCCTAAGGCCCAGGAGCAGAGATCTAAGAGATTAGCCCTAGTATTTGTCATGTCTGCCTTTATAACATACGATTTTTGTGTTTGATGTGAAGGTCTTTGAACCCAGCATAATCTGGATGTTACGTGGTATCATGATATTGTAGGACAGTGAAAGCAAACTATTTGCAGGGCTCTCTTCAAATGAAAAACGAGAGGAAATTCCACTGAGTAGATTCCACCTGGGGTTTCTGGTGTATAAACAAAGACCCTGAGAATACAGTATGCATGGCATTGCATCATTTTCTAAATGTTTTGGGGTAATAATTTGATGTATGGATAAGTGTTTTTCTCATTGCATCACAGAACTCAAATCCATGTTGGAGGCAGTCGATTTTCTCATATTTTCTTCATTCATATCTATTCACCCAATCTCATAAACTCGGGGGACACTGCTTGTAGTCTTACCTATGTTAATAAGCAGAGTTACTAAAAAAAGCTTTTAAATACAGTGCATTATGGAACATTTCTTATGATGCTACAACAAAGCAAACTTGTGATAGAAGACTTTCCTTTTTCCACTTTTCCCACCTTTCCTCCAAATTTACCAATATCAATTAGTGTGCTGGCCTGAGAAGGACAAATCCAAACTCCAAATCTAGTTCGTTCACAAAACCAAGAAGTCACTTTGTCCAGCATCTGTCATTACTAATCCATCCCTTATTTAGCTCTCCCAAACACAGATTAAACCTGGTAACAATTTTTAATGTTCAGAGTGTTCCCATCCAGGAGAAAGAAGTTTGCAATTAAACCAGGCTAACTGCTCAACTTCCTTGAAGGCAGGTGTGTTGACTGTCTGTTCCCTGTTGTAGTACCTGCCTTTCAAAGATGGAACACCGTGGTAAAGAAAAGACAAATATAAGAACCAGTTCGTTCTGATAGTGATTATAAAATAGTTTCTTTAAAAAAGCTTTTCGGGTTTTAACTTTCTGTATAACACACATTTCTCTGGCACACTCAAGTAAAACCTAAAATACATCTTACTAAACCAGAATATTTGTAATTAAACCTATTTGCACATGCAGAACTTCTCAGGAGGAGAGAGAGCATAGTGTCTGTTTAATAATGCCTTTGATATTGAATGCTTTTTTTAAAAGGTCATAGCAAAATATTTCTTATTTTAAAGCATTTGTACATTTTTATAATCATTTGAAACTGAAATCTGTTTCCTTTCCAAATATCACATCCTTCCGTTATGTGGAAAATTTGTTAGAGTTGTGGTTTAGTGCTTGGCAACTGGCACTAACTTTGTTTAAATAAAAATAGCACTAAAGTATTTGCTTTTAAAAAATAATTTATTTTTTTATAAGTATGTGTCTATATACACATGAATATGAAGTCACATTTTGAGCTCTCCAAACCAACCCTGACAATATCCATATTAACTGGGAGGAGAGGAGAGCCTTCATTTACTTTTTTCCTTGTCTTGCATTTCACTTTACTTTGTTAAATGATCCTTCTTTATTGCTAACCCTGGGACTCAGCCAGGAGATATTGTTGTGCCAGGCTTTTTTTCCACATCTTCTCTCCACTTCTTCTTTGCTAGCCTTCTCCAACCAGTAACTCTGTGGCTAACTTCCTTCTGCTTTACTTCTTGGTGCCAGTCCTGGCTTAGAACTCTGTAGCCTTCTGCCAGTGGCGTTTGAGGGAAATGTTCACATCGATTTGACATAAGCCTTCTCCCCCGAGTGATTTCCTCCCTTTCCTTTATCAACAGAAGAATGGTTTATTATTGCCAGTTTTGGCCTCCTCAGTGCCCTCACACTCTGCTACATGATCATCAAAGCTACAGCTAGCTTGAATGCTGACGAGTAAGTAAAAATTTAGATATCTATTTGTTTTTGGTGCTTGTGTCACAGGCAACACTGGGAAGAAGTGGCAGGAGGGGAAGCATGGGAGAAATGAGGTTTTTCAAAGTGAGTGCCTACTCTTTCTATGTAAAAGTCTTTACTAGAAATTGTTAATGCACAGGTAGCTAGATTTGCCTAAAATAGCTCCCCACAAAGGGGAAGTGCAAAAAAAGAGTGGGGTATCATAGAGCCTGGTTAGACCCTGTAGTGTTTGAATTAGCATTTAATCAGCTGATACATTTAAATAGTAAGCTTATACCTTTAGTCCACCAGGCCAGACTCTGCCTGATGGGAACTAGTAGTTGTTACCATCTGGTGGCTTTCTGGCAGCTTCAGTCTGTTTCTCTGAAATATAGCTCAGTGGTTTGAGCATTGGCCTGCTAAACCCAGGGTTGTGAGTTCAATCCTTGAGGGGGCCACTGAGGGGTCAGGGGCAAAAATCCGTCCTGCTTTGAGCAGGGGGTTGGACTAGATGACCTCCTGAGGTCCCTTCCAACCCTGATATTCTATGATTTTTTCTATGATCTATGATTTTTTTCTCAGATTTCAGCTCAGCAAGCCCATTTTCACTGTTGGAATTCCTTTTCACAGAGGAGGAAGGATATAAATGTTACATCACTAGGGAAGCTCCTTTCAGAGGATTTTGGGACTCAAGAGCAGTAATGGGAAGTTTGCACTGCTGCTGCTTGCTTTGTAGCTTTGTAGATATCGAATTGCAGCTAGTTATCAGGGAGTTGGCAAAATTAGAGATGGTGACCTCCATACTTAAGACAGTCGGCTGCTGTGAAAAATAGCCAGAAAAACTGGGGGAGGGAAGTTGTTAGGAGTTGTGTACATGTGCCTGTGAAAAGGAATTTCTGCATTTCTGGGCACTGCCACGTGCATTAGGAAGAGGATAGAGAAAACTCACTCAATGTATACTCCTAGAATCAGAACCAGTTACATTTCTGGCATTTCCCCTTCAGCTCCTCATCTTGTCTTCCTGTTGATGCTCTGTTGGTTGCGGTTCTTTCTTTTAGTAAGCAGCAGGAAGTATTGCGTTAAATTTCACACCAACTCTTTTTATTCACAAGGAGCTACTGCATCCAGGGAATTTCTTCAGGCCAGTATTTAAGTGACACAGGCAGACTGCATCATTGTCATGTGAACTATCAGCAACAGTGGTAGAATTGAAAGCTTAGTCAGTAGATTAAAAACACTATTTTTAAAAAAAGAGAGAGTGTGAAATAGACTAGTGAAGATGGAAAGAGTACAGAAAGGGGGGTGGCAAAAATTTGCCCCTTTCTCTCTTCATGGAACTTCAGTACCTGCTGCAGCCTCCCAACCTCCATGGCTTCCCCACTGGATTTCACTGGAGTCTAAGCAACCTCTGACTCTGCTGCCAAGTTAGGCTACCTGGTTTAGGCCTGTCCCCTGTGTATGCATGCCACTATTTTTTGATTAATTGCTTCACTGCTGCCTAATGTGCAAAGTATGTCAGGTGAAAAGTTTCTCCTATGTTGGTCAATGTGCCAGATACGTCATGACTCTCTGTTGTGGTTTCCATGAAATGCCACACTAGTATAGATGCAAGAAAGGAGGAAAAGCAGAAAAGCTTTTTACTTCCCATTTCTCCCTATAAAAATGAATGTTGACAGTGCCCCTGCAATCAGTGAACAATAACTAAACATTTCCTCTTGGAAGATGAAGCAAGCAGGAAGGAGAAGTAGTAGTAAACTAAGCAAGTGGACGATGCTAAGCATTCTGTGGTGGTATTCTCAGAGAGCATTTCTCAGTCAGTGAAACCCTTCCAAGGGACGTTCCCTGCTGCTTGCTTCCTCTTCTGTCTCCCCCACTTCAGACAGGTTGATTTAAGGCATTAGTTGCTGTGTTCATGTGCACGTACAAAAGATAAATAATGGCTCCAGACAACTATGACCATTTTTATAATAATAAGAAAGGAATAACAGTAAGGGGCACTTCATTAAATGGCTGCTTTCACTTGGCCTTAAAACATCTCATGGTATTCCCAGGCTGGGGAGACACTTCCAGGAACTTGTCTGACTTCTCTGTTGCCTTGCCTGTTAATTATTTAGATAATAGGCAAATTTTGCTCTATATCACCAGAAATAACCTGAGACTGGCCTCCCAAAAGCAACTGCACAACCACATTTCATAGTCCAGAGGCTCCTGGCATTGGGCAATCATTTCCCAGTGGTTTAGAAGCAAGACTCAAACCTAAGGCAGGGTTGTGAAGAATTCTAGTAACAGATATTCTTCACTCATTATAGTAAGCAATGATGTGGGGAACCGCATTCACCATTTTTAGCTCTATATAATTTTCACACTAACTTTTATTTGACAGTTTTTAGTTAAACATTCAGTATTAACTTTAACTAATATAAATATTCTGTCCTCTTTCTTACCCCACAGAGCAGAATGGTATTGAAGAAACACTTTCTGACAGATTTGCCTTGGAGAGACACCTATTTTTTGCATCATTTATTGATCATGCAGCATATGCAGTTATAATTAGTACATTTATTTTTCATTAAAGTTTGCTAATGCCAAAGCTTTGTATTAAGAAAAAATGAAGAAATAAACTTTAATTATGAAAACTTTTTCTGTAGTTGAATTTTATTTTCCATGAACCTTCTGCATTGAATACTCTATCTTTAGTGTTTTGTGTGTGATATATTATTGCAAT